TGCCTCGGCTAAACACGGAATAATTTATCCCCGATGATTTTATTCAACGTAAATGTAACGATATTGTAGGAGAATTCATGGTCTTCGGACCGATTACAGGTTCATTTTCACGGTGCGCGTTTTATTCCGTTTGTTATTATTTCGTAATGATCGCGTATGATCGGATTTTCTAGGGAAATTTCGTGCTCTTGCCGCTCGTTACGATACAGTTTCGCTCATTTGTTGTCGCCTAATTGCAATGCTTTTGCGAGGAGCGTTGTCTCGTTTCGTAGCAAATTTCTTTAAAAGATTGACCCTTTGCATTCGAGTCACGTTTTATGATAATTTTTGTATTAACAAAGCTTAGATTTAAGAAATTGTTAAGAGTGTAACTGTTGCGTGAGTCGCAAAAGTCAATTTTATATGCATAAAATGCATTTTATCGTATAAAATAAAAATACTATAAGTTAGAAAAATGATTTTACAATTAAAATAGTTTGGAGTGCAAAGGGATAATCTCCTTTTCAATCAAAAAGATTCGTCTCCTTTTCAATCAAAAAGATTCGTCTCCTTTTTAATCAAAAAGATTAACCCTTTGTATTCGAGTCACGTTTTATGATAATTTTTGTATTAACAAAGTTTAGATTTAAAAAAATTGTTAAGAGTGTAACTGTTGCGTGAGTCGCAAGAGTCAATTTCATATGAATAAAATGCGTTTTATCGTATAAAATAAAAATACTATAAGTTAGAAAAATGATTTTATATATTTACAGTTATAAAATATAATTAAAATATATTTACAGTTTCGAGTGCAAAGGGTTAATCTCCTTTTCAATCAAAAAGATTCGTCTCCTTTTTAATAAAAAAAAAAACTCTTCGTTACACTCGTAAAATATTCCTCCCGCGTAAAAAGTATTGACCATTGACTATTTAAATTGTAATTTCAGCGAAAACAAAAACATATTCTCAAACTTCAAGATGTTTCGAACATTTTCAGGCCAATCAATGCACGAAGGCGCCGCAGCCAACCGGTTTAATCGAAATGATTTAAGCGATTCGTAACGCGCAGATCGGAACGCGAATGTCCGTAATCAGACGCGATTGAAAAGATTATAATTATTTGTACACGGTCGAATCTTCGTGCACGCGGTTCGACGCCGTCGATACCTTTCCGATTATTGTTTATCGCATCTCTGCGGCAGCTGTATTAACATCTCCAATTTTCACCGGATAATGTATTCCAGTTCGCAGGTCATTGTATACAAGTTCGATTATTTGTGCTACCATTTATGGAAGGCAAGTTTAATGGCCGCTGTCACTTAATTTAATATCGGCCTCAATCGATTAATTTTATTTACCGTTGCAACCTGTATGATCAGTCTGTTGCAATACACCGGCCCCGAACATCAAACGCGTTTGAAAATCAATTTTATATATCCGGCTTCGATGTAAATTTACTTCGAGGAACACGGCCGACCGCGATATTTATTTTTAATTTATTGCCACGCAAAAACCGAGCGACGTTGCCGCATCGTTTTATCCGTTCCTTTGTCGCCGGGCTTATTATTATATTGCCCTCTCCCCCCCTCCCCGCGGTCGGTCAGGCGAATTCGACGTACGCGTTCGCTCGCAGAGATTGAAACCGTGCGGAATTTTTTGGATAATTTTCGCAGAATTGTCAAACGATCGACGATTAATTTAGCGGCTACCAATTATTCGTCGAACCACGGATTTTATGCGTTTCCTGTACCATCGAACGGATCAACGGAAAAAACGATCTACTAAAATTCTTAAGAAATTAAATATACAGTGTCCCAAAAATGTCTCGCAATCCGAAAGAGGCGGATTCCTCACGTCATTTGAAGCAACTTTTTCCTTTACAAAAATGTTCTCCGAGGCGCCGTTAACGAGTTATTAACGAAAAACGGTGACCAATGAGAGGCGACCGAGCCAATGAGCGGAACTGGGCTTCGCGCGCTAGTTGGCTGGGCCGCCTCGCGTCAGCCGTACTCGATTCTTATTGGTCGCAGTTTTTCGTTAATAACTCGTTAACGGTGCCTCGGAGAACATTTTTGTAAAGGAAGAAGTTGCTTCAAACGATCCGAGGAACCCGCCGTTTCCGGATTGCGAGACATTTTTGGGACGCCCTCTATTTATAATTAAATATAATATCGGCAACACCGATCATCGGTCATAAAAATAATTGTTGTCAAAAGGTAATTTTTAAATGTACGATTATAAATAAAAAACGACTATAAATATTGTCAACGATCGTAGAAAATGATCGATCGCAGAAAATTGTTTCGTCAAATGGCCGTCAAATGATCGCGGTCTGCGCGCCGAATGGCACAGATTCGCCGCTAGGGGCGTCTTCTTTAATTAGCAAAAAGCATCGGATTTAAAAGTAACTTTTTACTTGGACCCCGTCCTTTAAATATTGCTTTTCGTGCCTCGCGTTTGCTTCGGAAGCTCGCCGGTTCCATAAGGTAAACATTTAATCACCGTTCGACGAAAGAACGAACGTTTCGCCCATGATTTTCCACCGGCAATTAGTATCGCGGAACACATTATCGTCTAAATATTGGAAGATGCTATTCTCTACATTTGCTTAACCAGTTTGCCCAGGGAGAACAATCTCGCTAGAGTCCCGCTAAAACACGCGGAAAATGATTTAATGTATATGTACAACGGGGCTGGCTGCGCTAAATTACTTTTGCAATTTTAACAGGAACACCGGAAGCATATTTGCCCTCGCTTTCAATCTTGCGTTTGCCAACTGCTAACTAGACCATAGAGCCACGTCCGAATTGCATATTTAATGGACAACTTATATCTGCCAGTTTAAGTAACCATCCGTTTCTGTTCCGCGACTTAGAAACGATGGGAATTTGCCCAATCGAGGACACGTTTCGAACAACGTCCGGAGACGACTTCGTTTCGCTGTTTCTTGGATTAACAAATCATTTACGAAAAAAAAACGTAGCGTTTCCGCGATTATATTTTCCTATTTTATCAGCGAAAATTGATTATAAACTGAATAATAATAATAAGAAGAAGAAGAAGAAGAAGAAGAATTAGAGAAAACTTGTCCTCCTTTCCCTTTTTAAGTGCATAAACTTTGCTCTTGAATATTTTTTAAATGCCCTTTGCGTGCATAAAATTTCGCAACAAAAAGACAAGAGAACAGAAAGCTGCCTTACATAATTAATTATTATTTACATGTGTCGGAATAAGTTATACAGAATTTACAAAAAGTAAAATCCAAGAAACGGCAAACAAGTAATTTCGATCGCACTCGAAATTGGTCCCAGCGTCGAATCATCGTCGCTTGAAAAATCCGATCGAATCAGCAACTTCGAAACGTCCGAAATTCCTCCGCGCAAATCGTGGACTCCCGGTTTTACCATAGCGAAATGATTCGACAGTTTCCTCCGGCGTTTCGTCGGACTTCCATCAACACGATTATTAAAAATGGCCGGTCCGCACTTCTCCGAATGAAATGAAAAATTAAATGAAAGTCGCCTAAGCTTTTCCATGAAACTTGCCCGGAAAGTTTAATTTAGTTGGAGGCCTGTCGATAAGCTGACAGAACTTAGCGCACGTGTTCGAGAGCAAGCTCTAAGCAAAATGAAAGATTCCAGGGATTTCGCATAATATATTTGAGTGGAAATAAATGGCCGGGCTCGCGCGTTCGCGAGGAAATCTATAACTCGGGAAAAGTTCGGCTTTAATTGTGGTATATGTGAATCACGGAACTTCTCGATCATTTCGCGGGATCCTCTGCCATATTCGCCTGAGCCCCGGTTAAGTGAAACCATCGATCTTGGATTAGTTTCACGAGCTTGCATTAAAACTAGACACTCCGAAAATATTTAACACTTGGACGATCGCCGATCGTCGTTTCGTTTATTGAAATTATTCGGATCGAAAGGATACGTTCACGAGTTATTTAGCTAATATATTATTCTGCTTATTATTCTGCTAATATACAGGGTGTCCAAAAAATGTCTCGCAATCCGGAAATGATGGGTTCCTCGGATCATTTGAAGCAACTTCTTCCTTTACAAAAATGTTCTCCGAGACGCCGTTAACGAGTTATTAACGAAAAACAGTGACCAATAAGAATCGAGTACGGCTGACGCGAGGCGGCCCAGCCAACCAGCGCGCGAAGCCCAGTTCCGTTCATTGGCTCGGTCGCCTCGCGCCAGCCGAGCTCGCCTCTCATTGGTCACTGTTTTTCGTTAATAACTCGTTAACGGTGCCTCGGAGAAAATTTTTGTAAAGGAAAAAGTTGCTTCGAATGGCCTGAGGAACCCGCCACTTTTGGATTGCGAGACATTCTTGGGACACCCTGTATTATTCTGCTTATTATTCTGCTTAGCTAATATAATTGTACAAATTATTGCGGCAAATATCGCAACTCGTTCGAAAACAAAATACAATAATGTCTCCCTAATTGACGCTCAGATTATGCAGAAAAATGGACAATTTGGGGACAGGAGATACGATTATTCGAGCCTTGCGGTTTATTGTTATAGTTATAAATTGTCCACAATTATAAAAACGAGCCGCATGGCTCGAATAATAGTGGGCAATCTGAGCATCAGTAAGGGAGACATTACTGTACAGTAATGTCTCTCTAATTGACGCCCAGATTGACCACAAAAATAGACAATTTGGTGACAGGACATTACTGTACAAAAATGTCTTCCTAATTGACGCACAGATTATGCAGAAAAATGGACAATTTGGGAAGAGGAGATACGATTGTTCCAACCTTACAACTCGTTTTTATAGTTGTTGACAATCGATAACCATAAAAAACGAGCCACAAGGCTCGAACAATCGTATCTCCTTTTCCAAAATTGTCTATTTTCGTGGACAATCCGAGCGTCAATTAGAGAGACATTACTGTAAATGTTATTTTGACGAACCAATGTAAAACAGCCGCTTTCGGCGCGTCAATTTGCACGTTCCGTCGATGGGAAGATTGTTAACATTTTTACGTATGTCTGTTTCAGAACACTACCACATATTTGTAGGAGATCTAAGCCCGGAGATCGAGACACAGACCTTGAGGGAAGCCTTCGCTCCCTTCGGCGAAATCTCGTAAGTCCTCTTAATCTTGCTCATTAAAGACGACTTACCGTCCTCTTCGTGGTATACGAGTGATAATATAACGATGTAATGTGAACAGCGATCTTTCCCGCATGCGACGTTAACTAATCATGCGGCTGAGAAGTCTTTTCGTGTCAGTCAAGCCTTCTCTCGTGCTGCCTTATGCATATGCACTTCGTTAAAGCAAGCTTACCTATATTATTTTTCAATTCCTGTGATACCAGCAGACGTCGCGAACTGAACTAACGAGAGGCCAGTACGGACAATGCACTCGACGAATTCAAGGGAAAAATATTCATCTTATTTCTCGGATGCGATTCCACGGTTTCATAATTTGTATAATTTTGTCGGGTTCGCGTGGCTTTCTCGACAATTCGATTATATTGATGCTGGAAATTGAGGAAATATCATTGAATTCTTCTTCGTCATTGCTATTAAATAATCTTCGATTTAAGTTTCTTCGTTGTTGATAAATAATCTTTGAATTCTTCTTCTTTGTTATTGTTAAACAATCTTCGAATTCTTCTTCTTCGTTATTATTGGATAATCTTCGAATTTTTCTTCTT